CACGGCACCTCCCGTGGGGTCTGACAGCAGGGTGAGGTGGTCTCAGCGGGAAGCTGGAGCGCTGGCAGCACTCTTCTTAACTAAAGCACGGGAGTAGGCCCAGCCGGCTGTTCCGGGGGTGGGTGAATTGGCGTGGAAGGTCAGTAAAGCTGGCGGAGACTGAAACCTCTCGGGGCACACTATCAATTTAAAAATTGCACTTTTCACGTTTCTCACCGCTTATTTTTAGCAGCAATTTTTAAGGCAAGTACCTAAGGAGGCAGAACTGCCCTACCTGACCCCACTATCTTCTATGAAATTTTTAGGTGTTTACTTTGAGCATGCACTGACCTGCAAGAGGGGATGACCTGCAAAGCCACCGACTCGGCAGCGGACTAGATGTATAGCTGGATGTATAGCAACTGTCAGACGGGCAAACAAAATATGAAAAGAGTGGGGATGAAGGAGGAGGAAAGGACCATTAGAGCTCAGTGGTGGGATATGAATGGCACTGCTCAGGCAGCCCCAAATGCTCCCACAAAAGAATCTGGTCTGGGTCCAAAGACGGCTAATGAGAGGGAGCAGAAACAGTTTCCCCAAAAGGAAGCAAGCGTTTAAGTTCAGGGAGGAGACCGGAGCCAGTCCAACGGGGAATGCAAAACAACGAGCAATGCAAGGCAGGGAGACTTGGCACTCCCATTTGTTTTTAGCCGTACAATAAGAACAGCCGATAAAAAGAAGATGGATTTAAAGCGCTACAGGATTTTAATTTTTTTTAAGACACAGTTTATAATTAAGACGTGGAACTAATTGTCTCTAAACCTAATTGAGGCCAGGAACTTCTGGGAGATCAGAGAAAGGACGAGCAATAGATAACATGACTACCACGGCTACGTTACACCGCACATAAAGCGCGGGAGGGATGCTTAAACTCCGCGTGTCTGTGGTGTACCCCGGCCCGCGGGGGAGGGAGCAGCCAAACCTTGGGGGAGTTATTTCAGAATCATCCCTTAGGGACTGTAACACCTTCCTCACCCGTCAGTACTGCCCGCAGCCAGCGGCTGGAGGACACTGCCCAGAGCTGCAGAAAAGAAGGTTATCAGGAGTAGTCAGCATGGATTCACCAAGGGGAAATCATGCCTGACCAATCTGATAGCTTTCTACGATGACATGACTGGCTGGGTAGATGAAGGGAGAGCTGTGGATGTTGTCTACCTTGACTTCAGCAAGGCTTTCGACACAGTCTCCCATGATATCCTCCTAGGGAAGCTGAGGAAGTGTGGGCTGGATGAGTGGTCG